TAACACATGTATGTACTAATACTCCTTCATTTCTCTGTATACATTTAAATAATGAGTTCATTTGAGACCTCTAATCTAAAACAAATCCAACTTCATCTTGGCCTTTCCCCTTTCACTACTTGTGACCTCTTTTTCTAACAGGAAGAAACAGCTTCTTACCTAGCACACATTCACTTGGACTCTTTAATAGATTATTGTAGTCACAGGACCACCTCCCTGTAAGGAACTGCTTTGCTGACTAAAGCTTTTGTATGTGTTCCTTTTGTCTTCAAATTTAGACTTGGCAGCCAAATTTTACTTTGTTTCACTTAGAGTCCTTCTCTTCCACCTTCACCGTTGCATTTCTTGGGATGAGTGGGGGTCCATTTGTTACCATTTTTACTCTACTGGGGGTTAGGTTTCTAAAATCCAGTGCCATCTATGATGGTGTGTTCATAGATCTGAGTGTCTCTCCTGGTCACTATTCTGTCCACCTACTTTCCATCTGTATACCTGTAGTTCTACTGCCTTCTTCTGTATTTGTTAGTTTGTGGGTTTTATAGAAATGAGAAACATGTTTTGCCCACCTACTTTTTGTTACTATTTTAAGTTTTTTTTTTTTATTTTCTGTGGTTCCATTTCACTGTGGGTTTAATTTGCACTCGTCCTTTTATCCCTGGGGTTGAACATCTGACCTTGTCTTACTGCAATACTGTAGCTGCTGCTGCTTCTTTGCTAAGCTGGCCTGACTCTTCCCACTTTCCAGACAAGAACAAACGGCTCCTGTAGCTCCCCTCTGCTTTGCTGGCTTCCTCTACCCCAAGCCACCTGCGGCCTATTATGACACTGCCTTGTCTCACTCCTCTCTATACGCTCAGAATGGCTTAGCCCCGATGGTCACCCCACAGGGTTGAAATAAATAGTTACTGAATGATGAATGACTGTCACAGGTCTTCGACTTTCAAAAGACTTCCCAGTGCCCACATGTTGGTTAATGAACTTTGGAAACATTCACAATAAAATCTGACTACTTTCAGTTGGAAACTGAAAGCAATCTCTTAAGTAAAGGATACTAGGAAAAACTAATTTGGGGGACCTGGAGGCACAGCTCAGCAGTTAAGAGCACTGGCTGCTCTTGCTGAGGAGTCAGGATTCAATCCCCAGCACCCCAGTGGCTCAAAAATGTCTGCAACTCCAGTTCCAGAAGAGCTACTGCCCTCTTCTGGCCTCCATGGTTACTGCACACACATGCATTTAGACACACACACACACACACACACACACACACACACACACACA